CAGGAGGAGGTGTAACCACTCCTGGTAGAGGAGGTGGAGGAGGAGGAAATGAACTGCATGGGAGAGGAGGTGGAGCAGAAAGAGCGCTCATTCCTGGAAGTGGAGGTGGAGGAGGTGGTGCACACATCCCGGATGGAGGAAGAGGTGGTGGTGGAGGAGGCACCGAAGCGCCCGGCAGCTGCTGGCATATGCACACAAATGCTTGAGAAGCATTTTCAGTTTCTGATGGCAGCGAGGAGTCACTCCTCCCGGGCCCCTGCGCCTCCACAGGAGGCACTTTAAACCTAAAGCTCTCCTCCATGGGAGACGTCTGCACCGATTTGGCCTCCAGCAGCAGCAGCGCAGTGTTCTCCGTCTGCAGGTCCACATGGCAGACGTCCGGGAGGAGGCGCTCCTCTGCTCCGCACTCCTGGTCCTGCGTCAGCAGCACCTCCCGCTCCAGCAGGGGCTGCTGTTTCTCCAGCTCGGCGATCTTACTGCGCAGGTCTTCGATGGTCTGCTCCAGCTGCTCGATCACGCAGACGTGCTCTTGCTTCAGATGCACCGTCTTTATCACAGACTCCTCCTGCGGAGACAGAGACAGGCATGATGAAAAGCAGACGAACGCCGCAGACAGAAACAGACATAAATCTGAGCTTCTCGTGCACTGGATTCTGCGAAGTCACTCGCGTTCGTGTCACGCGGTTAAACGTGTTTCCTGTGGGAAGAAACAATGCTGAAGTGTGGACAGAACTGATGAGGAGCAGCTGCTTTCAGACTCAAAACACAACAATAGATGCCCACAGTCCTCTGAATTCAACAGACCCCGGAGGAGACACCCCACAGGACCTAATAGAGAGCAGCACACACAAATGTTTAATGAGAAACACTGTGAGAGAATGAACAGAGAGAGAGCATGCATTTTTCATAAATATAAAAAACTTTACTTTATTTTATTCAAATAAAAGTAAAACATTTAGATAATTATATAAAATTAATAGTTAAGCATTAAAGACTAAGGTATTCATTTATATAAACAATTAATTGTGTATACTCTATTGCTAATGGTGTATAAAATTCTTAATATATTATAGTAATAATATGAAATTTAAATAGATTTTTTTATATAAACCTATTAAGGCAATTATTAATCATTAACTGTGTGCATACAATTATTATTAATAATTTTATAATAATTGCTTATTTAAATTTTATTTTATAAAAGTTTATTTAAACAAAAACCAAGCATTTACATAATCATATAATATTTACTTTCACTTTACTTTTCATTTAGCAGATGTATAATTAGATAATTAAACAAATTTCATATTATATATAATGTAAACAAATGCATATCATTAATTATTCATAGTAATATTTAATATTGTATAATATGAATTATTAGTTCATTTACATGTAATAATTGTTAATTATATATAGTTATTTTGTGTGTATGTATTTTTGAAAAAATGAATGTAAAAATAATTTATATTAATAAAATTATTGAATTAAATTATATTTTATAGCATTTTATTTAAACCATTTACACATACATACACGCGCATATATATATATATATATACACACACATGCACATTAACACACATACATATGGCAGATGCATCTCAAAAAATTTGAATATCATAAAAAAAATCATTTCAAAAAGTGAAACTTTCATATTTTCTAGATTCATTAATGCAAAACATTTCAAAAGTTTTTGTGCTTTAATTTTGATGATTAGAGCTTACAGCTCATGAAAGTAAAAAATCTAGTATCTCAAAATATTAGAATATTTCCTAAGATCACAAAAAAAATAATAATAATAAAAAAAAGGACTTGCAAAACAGAAAAGCTCAAATTCTTTAAAGTATGTTAATTTCTGCACTCAATAGTTGGTCGGGGCTCGTTTAGCACAAACTCCAGCATCAGTGAGGAGTGAATGGAAGCGATCCGCCTGTGGCTCTGCTGAGGCACTAGTGAGCTTCAGCTCTGATCCACTGTTTATCATCTTTCTCTTGATATTATAGATAGATATCTCATAGATTCCACATGGGCTTCAGGTCAGGCATGTTGGCTGGCCAATCAAGCACAGTAATATCATTGGAAGTGGTTTTGGCTCTGTAGGTAGGTGCTAAAGTTCTGCTGGAAAAGGAAATCAGCATCTCCATAAAGCTTGTCAGCAGATGGAAACATAAAGTGCTCCAAAATCTCCTGGTAGACGGCTGCATTGACTTTGGACTTGATAAAACACAATGGAGCAACACCAGCAGATGCCACGGCTCCACAAATCATCTCTGACTTCAGAAACTTCACACTGGACTTCAAGCAGCTTGGATTCTGTGCCTTGGATTTCTTCCTCCAGACCTTGATTTCCAAATGATTATGCAAAATGTACTTTCATCTGAGAAGAGGACTTTGGAGCACTGAGCAACAGTCCAGTTATTTTTCTCCTTAGCCCAGGTGAGATGCTTCTGACATTGTTTCTGTTTATGGAGTTTTCCTGAAGACGTCTGAGCGTGGTGACTCCAGCTTCAGTCCACTCCTTGTGAAGCTCTCCCAAGTGTTTGAATCAGCTTTGCTTGACAGTATTCTCAAGCTTGCCATCATCCCTGTTGCTTGTGCACCTTTTCCTTCCCAATTTCTTCCTTCCAGTCAACTTTGCATTTAATATGCTTTGATACAGCACTCCGTGAACAGCTGCTCTTTCAGTAATGAGCTTCTGAGACTTACCCTCTTTGTGGAGGGTGTCAGTGATCGTCTTCTGGACCATTGCCAAGTCAGCAGTCTTCCCCATTATTGTGGTTTCAGAGAACAAGAGATACCCAGAACTTATACTGTAGAGATGGTCATTTAATGAAACTAAAATGTAAATATTCTAATATTTTGAGAAACTGGATTTTTGACTTTCATGAGCTGTAAGCTCTAATCATCAAAATTAAAACAAAAAAAACTTTTGAAATGTTTTACTTTACATGTAATGAATCTAGAATATATATGAAAGTTTCACTTTTTTAAATAATTTTTTTAGATGGATCTGTGTGTGTGTGTGTATATATATACAGTGGGTACGGAAAGTATTCAGACCCCTTAAAATTTTCACTCTGTTATATTGCAGCCATTTGCTAAAATCATTTAAGTTAATTTTTTTCCTCATTAATGTACACACAGCACCCCATATTGACAGAAAAATACAGAATTGTTGACATTTTTGCAGATTTATTAAAAAAGAAAAACTGAAATATCACATGGTCCTAAGTATTCAGACCCTTTGCTGTGACACTCATATATTTAACTCAGGTGCTGTCCATTTCTTCTGATCATCCTTGAGATGGTTCTACACCCTCATTTGAGTCCAGCTGTGTTTGATTATACTGATTGGACTTGATTAGGAAACCCACAC